TCATCAGCTGGCACCTGACACCACTTTAACTCTCCAGAATACTTTAAGACCAGTAACCCTAATCTGAACCTTCCTATTTTCCAACCTGGGTAGTGATATTTACATGGAGTGAAGAAGTCATGCTGAAAAATTCTTTTCTAGAACTGCCTGATGGACAGCTATTTGTCTCTTCTCAGGAAGCGTGGTTGAGTTGGTTATAAAGGACCAGTCATAAAGAGCCTTGGGTTCTTAGGATCATAAAGAGCACAGAACTAAGGCTGAAAGGGACCTCCGAGGTCGTCTGTTCCAACTCCCTAAATTTAAAAATGATGAGACTAGATCCTAAAGAGGTTAAATGACTCATCCTTCCCAGGTCACATGAGTTTTAAGAAGCAGACCTGGAATTTGAACTCAGACTTCACAATTCCAAGTCCATTGTGAGAGGTCAATGCTCTTTTTACCATGCCTCACTGCCCCCCCCTACTGCAGGCTCTGACACTATCTAGTTTGAGGCTGCTAGGTGGCACAATCAATAGAGTCCTGGACCTGGAGTCAGAAATACTTGAGTTCAAATTTGACCTCAGAAACTTATTAGTTGTTTGACCCTAGGAAAACTGCATAATCTCTATCTGCCTCATAGGGTTGTCAGGAAAATAAAATGAGATAATATTTGTAAAGTGCTTTGCAAATCTTAAAACACTACATAAATGCTAGCCAGTATTATTATTGGGCAAGCCACTCACCTCCTGGGTCTCATTTTTCTTGCCTCTGAGATAAATTATGTGATCTCTAAACTTCCTTTCAGCTCTGACATTCTAAGCATGCTTGGGAAAGCCCATTTCCATTCCATCCCCAACAGTTCCTATATGCCTAATAATCTGGTTATGTGAACAGACAGGCCAAGAGCACCACCTAATGTTCATCCCCAAACACACATACACAGAGTCCATACCCCAGACTCACCCTGGCCCAAGACACACCTAAAAGCTCTAAATAGACATGGAACAATAAAACAAGGCCATAGGTCATTGTCCAAAGATGCATGTCCTTAGTTGCACCAGAGATGATAGTAAGAGATTAGGAAACCTCTCCTGACTCCTCCCCATTCCCCTCTTCTCCCACCTCTTCCCATTCCTGTCCTCTTCCCTGCCCCATCCCCACCTCCAGGCCAAGGAAGGTTTCTAGCCAAGATCCTGGTAAGACAGAGTCTATAAGGTCAGAGACATAGGGTTTCTTAATGAACAGTCACTCTTAAAGACAGCTTGTTTTGTTTTGTTTTGTTTTTTTGGCTTATTGTAAGCTTTATGAAGGTGCTAAATTCCCTCTAAATAGTGTATATTATATTCTTATTTTACAGATCAGATAGTAGGTAAGTGGGGCGGCTAGGTAAAGCAAAGGGTAGAGAGTCAGCCCTGAGATCAGGAGGTCCTGAGTTCAAAAGTGACCTCAGATACTTACTAGCTGAATGACCTTGGGCAAGTCACTTAACCCTGTTTACCCCAGTTTCCTCATCTGTAAAATGAGCTGGAGAAGGAAATGGCAAACCACTCCAATATCTTTGCCAAGAAAACCTCAAATGGAGTCACGGAGAGTCAGGTATGACTAAAACACAACAAAAGTAAAGTCAGAGGGGCATCTAGGTAGCACAGTGGATAGAGAACTGGCCCTGGAGTCAGGAGGACCTGCATTCAGATCTGACCTCAGACACATAACACTAGCTGTGTGACTGTGGGCAAGTCACTTAACCCCATTGCCTAGCCAAAAAAAAAAAAGTGAAGTCAGGGTTTGAACCAAAGTCCTATGGCTCCTGAGGCACCTAGGTGGTTTAGTGGATAGAGCCCTGGAATCAGGAAGATCTGAATTCAAAGCCAGCCTCAGACACTTAGTGACCCCTGAGCAAGTCACTTAACCTCTGTTTACCTCAGTTTCCTGTAAACTGTAAAATGGGGATAATACTAGGCCCCTCATCCCAGAATTGTTGTAAGTAACACATGAAAAAATATTTGTAAAGTGCTTAGCATAGTGCCTGGAACATAGTAGGTGCTTAACAAATGCTTGTTTCATTCCTTTCCCCCTCTAAATGCAGAAAAGTCTTTCTATTTCACCAGAGCTCTTTATACTGCACAAGACTCCACGATCCTCCACTCCCCAAATCTGAGAATCACAGATTTAGAGCCAGAAGGTGCCTCAGAGGCCCTGAATTTAACCTAATCATTTTATCAATGAAGGAACAAGTTGAGAAAGGATAAGAAGCTTGTGCAGGGTCATAGAGCTAGCATTTAAGGCAAAATCTGAACTTAGGTCTTCCTGCCTGTAAGCACAGTACAGTGCCCCCCCCACACACACACCACACACACAGTCCAAGGAGTTTCCATCCAGCATTCCGTAAAATCCTCTCACTTGTAGGCTAAGAGTAAACAAGGGCACAAACACTCACCTTTACCCCATCTAAGAGCTAGAGTCATAAAAATGAAGGGTTGGCAAGGATAGTCCTGGAACCCAAATGCCAAAGGATGCCTTCCTCTCACACCAGAAGAGCAAGGGATTATCAAACATTGGATATGTATTCAAATGCTGTCACTGTTCATGAGTCTAACTGTTTTTCTGTGTTCAAGAAGAGCTTGATCTAGAGAGAGGGAGGAGAGTCTTTTTCCAGAAATGACTATGATAGAAAGAAAAAAGGCATCAATGAAATATGTTAGAAATAAAGATAGATTAGGAGCAAAAGGGCTTCAACTCTCAAATCAGAGCTGATCCTATCTACATTATTCTTGGATCATAAGACTGAGTTAGAATAGATTTCAGAGATCATCTCATCATTTTACAGATGAGGAAACCGAGGTCCTAAGAGAGTAAATGACCTACCCAAGGCTATACAGGAAGTAAGTAACATCCTGGCATTTTAACTTAGGTCCTCTGACCCCAAATCCAGTCCTCTTCTACTAAAACATCAGTATAAATGGTGATATATGTCCACCTCTAGACAAATAGTCTGTATATTTAGGAGAAGGTAGAGCTTTAGCCAACACTACAGGGTGACTAGCTGTCTCAGTGATTGAGGCACCTGGTGGTATTGGTTTCATCTTTGCCTCTGGTGCCAAACTCCTTCACCTAAACTCTCATTTGTCATTTACTAAACCAGAAAAAAAAACCCACATGTTTAGATTTCTGAAGTATTTCCCTAGTGTCCCTCCAAAAAAAGAACTTAAAAATAGCTATAGTGAGTCAGGCACATGGATCACTTGGGACCCAGAAGATCCCTCTGTCATCTCACTAGAGGCAGCCTGGAGATGAATTAGCAGCTTTCCAAAGGGACTCAGTGGAGGGGAAGTCAGAACTAGCAAAAAGTAATACAGAATTTAGAAAACAAGGCTTAAGAGAGAAGTCCTCAGATCTCCATTTTCCACTATGCTCAGACCCAGAGAGCATCACTCATTGAGGGAGAAAAAAATCTTAATATTCCATATCCCATTGCACTGTGTGTCTAGGCACAAGTCAATTATGTCACAATTTGGAGACTCTAATCAGCACAAGACTCTTCTGAGATGCAAAAGGTTTACAAAGCAATAGAACAGTATGTGGAGATTCAATATGATAAAGGGGTAAAGCTAGGGCTACAATGTAATCCCCAAACCAGGAGACCTGACAGAATAGAGCTGACCCCATGGAACAAGTCAAGACAAATACTTGCACAATAGAGGCTTCAGAAGACCTTTGTGTCATCTGCCAAAAAGGAGAGAGGAGATTAGAGGGAAGAGGTGAAGGGGATAGGGAGTAGGATGAAGAGAAAGGAGGATGTGGAGAGTAGAGCAGAGAAGGAGAGAGGGCGGGAGAGAGGTGAGGGAAACAAAGACAGAGACAAGAGAGAGGGAGACAGAAAGAGACAGAGAGAGACAATGACAGACAGAAAGAGGGAGACACAGAGAGAGGAGAAAAATACAGAAAGAGAGAGAGAGAGAGAGAAAGAGAGAGAGAGAGAGAGAGAGAGAGAGAGAGAGAGAGAGAGAGAGAGAGAGAGAGAGAGAAAGCAGGGGGAAGGTGCTGTGTAAGAACTCAGAAGTTTTCCAGTTGTGAAACAAGGTACATGTGAAAGTCTAAAACCTCACCCACCAGTACGTGAGATTGCAGGACAATATAACCATTTGGGAAATGGGTGCTGAGAATGTTTCTAATATGTTATGCTTCCTTTTCTGTTACAATTACATGTTTTTTATTGATTCAGTGCTGTTGAGTGCTTGGGTTTCTGTTAGCACAGCATTAACTGGTTATCTAGACTTCCAGTTGACTTGAGAAACATGCTATTTCACCTGGGGATGAGGACTCAAGCTCTGTAGGATGCACTTACCAGAAAAAAGCCCTCACAAACATAAACCCAAATGCATGAGAGGCTTACACACAGGCAACAGAACCGAAACTTTTCCCTTTCAGGTCAGGAAGTAGGCAAGTTACTAGCTTCCTTTTAGCCGTAGTTTACGCAAGGCAAACTCACTAACTTAACATGAAAAGGAGAAGGCAAAGAAGAAGGAACAAGTAATTAGGTCACATGCCATAGCTCCCAAGATATTGGGAAAGACCTTTTCCTAGTAAGTTACACCAACAGACTGTTCACAACACAACCTGGGTTCTTAGTTACTATAATAACAAATACTTTGCACAATTAAATGTTCCCTGTTTTGGGGCCCATAAAAATATTGATGCTGCCGCTGCTGCTGATGATGATAGCAGCTGACATTTAAAACGTGCTTTGAGGTTTGTAAAATACTTTACAAAAATTTTATCCTCATAAAAACCCTGCAAAGTAGGTGCTATTATATCCCCATTTTACAGATGAGAAAACTGAAGCAAGCAGATTTGAAGAGATTTGTTCAGGGTCACACAGCTAGTGTGTGTCTGAGGACAGATTTAATTTCAGGTGTTCCTGTCTGCAAGTCCAGCTGTACCATCCAGCTGTGTTAACAAATAAACCTTTTCAAACATCAACCTCTATCCCAGTTCATAGTGGCAGAAAAATCAAATCTGAGTAGAGAAAATAGAGATCCATTTTATTATCGTAATACAAAGCAAGAAAGTGAAAGGCTTTGGGAGATATTGTTTCTAAAGGGAAGAAGGTTTCCTTGAAGGTTTGCAGCTTCCACTCATCCTCTTGAGATGGGCCTTTGAACTGCAGGGCAGCTGTGTCTAGGCCATCCTCCCCTGCATTCCCCCTTTCAGTGGGCCCTTATTATCCTGGATTTTTTATAGAGTTCCATGGTAGCTCTAGCGTCTTCCACAGAGGAGTGTCCAAACCTGCTGTTCTGTAAAGACAGAGAGATAGATATTCAGTCACCAGAGTGAAGAAGTTCAGACAAAGGATATTTGGGAAATGTCCACCATGACTGGGGCCCATGCTCAAGCAGGCACTGGTTTCATCCCTGTCTTTGGTACCAAAGGCTCTGGTCACTTAATCCTCATCTCTACTTTCTGGAGCCAGGGCTTGGGTGTAGAAACACTCAAGATTTGCCAGGCAGAATTGTATAGTGAAAAGACACTTGGATTTGGAGACAGAAGGAGTTGGGGCTGCAAGACATCAAGTGACTACTCAAATTGTTTACCCATCTGTTTATGGTAGCTGGTGACATAGTGAATAGTTATTGGACCTCAGGTACTTAGTAGCTGTGAGATCCTGGGCAAGTCATTTTACCTATTTGCCTCAGTTTCCTCAACTATATAATGGGGATAATAACAGCACCTACTCCACAGGGCTGTTGTGAGGATCAAATGAGATATTTGTAAAAGCAAAGAAAGAAGGAACAAGTAATTAGGTCACATGCCACAGCTCCCAAGATATCAGGAAAACTTCTCCCTAGTAAGTCACACCAACAGACTGGTTATACAACACAAACTGGGCTATTTGTTACTGTAGTAACAAATACTTTGCATAATTGAATGCTCCTTGTCTTGGGGGCCATAATAATATTGATGATGATGATGATGATGATGATGATGATGATTACAGGTACAATGCCTGGCACATAATAGGTGCTATGTAAATGCTTATTCCCTTCCCCTTTCCCCATCTACAAAGTAGGGACAATAATTCTTTTAGTACCAATCTTGTGGGACTATTATGAAGAGAGATTTATAAACTGTAAAGTGACATATGAATGTGAGTTGTTACAATTATTAAACCCCAAGCCACAGAGTTGCTATATCCTGGCTCCCTTGAGGACCAGAGTCTTGGAAGGCCCAGGAGATAGAGCAGGGACTTAGCTTAAGGAAAAGTGTAAGCTGTCTGATCTAGACCAGGGATATGGGGAGACCCCAAAGCTACCTCTCTCATCAGTTGTTTCAGTTGCATCTGACCCATTTGGGATTTTCTTGGCAATGATACTGGAGTGGCTTGCCATTTCCTTCTCCAACCCATTTTACAGGTGAGGAAACTGAGGCAAACAGGGTTAACTGACTTGCCCAGGGTCACACAGCTAGCATCTGAGTATTTGCTCACTATTGTGTTCTTTTTCAGTTCTTTCTTCTAGAAAGTTCCTTATATCTGCAGTCTTCTTATTCCTAACATATACTCTATCCCCTATGAAATGCTAATTCTTCCAAGAATTCCTTCTTGGTGACAGGAATAGAGATAACACAGCTCTGTTTTTACTAAGCCTAGAGCACTATGAACGCTCAACACCACGCCAGTAATGTGACTAAATTTATATGGCACTTGAAAGTTTACAAAGTGTTTTATATAGGTTATCATCATAGTAACCCTTCAATGTATGTGCTATCATTATCCTCATTTTTCATATTTAGAAACAGAGGCTAAGAGAGGTTAAGTATTTGCCCTGTATCACACAGTTACTAGGCATCTGAGTCTGTATTGAAACTCAAATCTTCCTGATTACAAGTCAAACATTCTAATCACCACCCCACTGGGCTGCCTCTAGCATGTGCCAAAGAGCTAAAGAATCACTGAAGCATTTCGATAAGACCCTTCAGCATCATGGGAGGTGGAAAAGGATGAGGGATTCTGAGCCTTAACTTCCTGTGCCGCAGCAGAAAAACTTGGTAGGATGTGCAAAGATGCCAACTGTATCTTACAGGGAAAGCCAAGGAATATGGAAAATGGCAATGAATCTGAAACCCACCATCGCCTTCACCACCACCATTGGCAACATTCACATATCATGTTCAGGAACTTGAAGTGTACATAGATTTTTCTATCCGTGAAAAAAATGTCCCCATAAAATTCATTACAATATACTGTTTACAATAATGCAAACGTCCTTTTCCTCTCTCCCTCAGAGGGCTCCTGGGAAAAGCACCAGTGGCTATGTATTCACGAGTGCACTTCAGTGCTGTCATGCTGGTTGATCACAACTGCTTGGCAGCTATTTTTTAATTAAGGAGCCCCAGACCGGTAGGAAACAACTCAGGCTGAAAATAACCAATGAGGTGTTTTATTGACCTGGCTTCCCTAGCCATGTGTCTGGAAAGCAAAGAGGCAACAGTGTCATGGGGTCCACATCAGCAACAGCCAGAGAGAGACGTGAGCCAGAATTGATCTCACAACAACCTAATCATAAATGCACATATTGCAGGGAACTTTCAGGAAGGTTTTCATTAAGTCTTGCTACAAGAAATGAGGACAGATATTTCTGTTCTGAAGAATTACAGAATTACATCTGTGCCTAGCACATAATAGACACTTAATAAATGTCTATTGAATTGGTAAGATCATACAATTTGTTTAAATTCATGAAAAAAGTAATGAAAGAGTTGGGAAATAATCCATAACTCTGAAATAGTAATAATTAATAGCAATAATAATAATAATAGCTAGTATTTATATAATGCCTATGGTGTTAAACATTTTATAAATATTATCTCATTTAATCCTCACAAGAACCCTGGGAGGTAGGTGCTATTACAATCCACATTTTACAGTTGAGAAAACTGAGGCAAATAAAGGTTAAGTGACTTCTCCAAGGTCATACAGCATCTGAGGTCAAATTTGAACTCATGTCTTCCTGAAAGACTGGCTAGGCTTCCCCAAAGACAGTAGTGGTATAATAAAAAGAGTACTAGATTTGGAGTCTAAGGATCTAGATTTGAATCTTGGTTCTATAACAATTCTACCTTAGGCAAATCACATAATCTCTCTGGACCTCACCTGTGAACTGAGAAGACTGGACAAGAAGAACCAAGGTCCCTTCTAGCCTCCCAGATCCTATGGTCTTAAGGTGTCTAGAAGTTGGGTTTCTATAGCTCTGCACTCACAAGTTTCCAAGACTGGCATTCATCTTATTCCTAAAGATCCTCAGAGAAGACGTTACCTCAAGCTCCCTCAGGAACTAGCTTTTCCTGGGTCCAACAGAGCTTTGAATTTAAAAAAAATCCTTTCTTTGTTCTAATTTATTTCTGTCATGCCAGTCTCAAATTATGCCCTCACATGTACCACATGAGTCAATGCTTGGGTGCTGACTACTTGGGCTCCCATAAGTGTGATTTTCAAGAAAAGACATCAGCTACTGGTTGGATGTTCTGATGCATTCAGCGTGAAGTGAAGAGGGCCTGACCACACCTAGGACTCCCCCAGAGCCAGATTTCTGAAGCTGAGGATCATCTTCAACACTTCTTCCGCATAGAAGACATGCCCTTAATAGTGTGGCTGCTCAGAAGCAACTCTGGAAGTCAAGTTACTCTGGGCTCCTCTTGGTATGGGGCAAAGTCCCATAGTATTAGAGTCAGAAGACTGGGGTTCAAACCCTAAGTCTGCCACTTTACTGCTCGTGTGTCCTTGGCCAAGTCACCTCCCTTCTTGGTCCTCAGTTTCCTCATCTCTAAAATGGACCTCTAAGGTCCCTTCTAGTTCTAAATCCTGGAGTAGGTATTCTATGCTATATGATATGGGTTCTATGCAATCTGCTTAGAGAAATAATTTAAAACAAATAGTTGGGCATAATGGTTTAGGGCTTAAATGTCACCAAATATCATGGCAACCTGGTATAATGGACTGAATATTGGATTTGGAATAAGAAGGTCTGACTTTGAATCCTAGATCTGCTACTTAATAACTTGAGCAAATCACTTAACGTCTCTGGACTTCAGGTTCCTCTTTTTCAAAAATGTGGGGCTGTACCAAATGATGCCTAGGTTCCTTTTTAGCTATAGTGCTATGGTCCATCAGATATGGTTCTCCAAGGCTCAGTCTTACCACCATATGCTGGCAGGAAACCAAGTTTAACTAACATTCTGATCAGGGGCCTGAGCCTCAAAGCCTCCAAACCTAATTCCTTCTTTCTTTCTGAATTTTAGCGGGTTTTATCACCCACGCTTAACCAAGAAGTAGAAAGTGAGGTTCATAAAGAGTAACCGTGCACACCAGCCTGAACACCACTCAATAGCTGAATGGGAAAGATCGAGCAATGTCACCTCTTGGTCATAGGGGTCCTTTGGGAAACTTAGATAAGGCTATCTGTCACCATTCCACCTTATTAGGCAAATATGCGACATAAAGATTGTGAGTGGGAGAAGGGAGGAGCCTTAAGAACAGGCTATAAGTAAATGATAAGAATAGTAATAATGATCCTTTGCAAATGAAATGGAATCATACTTGGTGAGCACACAGCAGTTTTCAAAATGTTTTCAATTATTTTCTATTCCATTTGAGCCCAGTAGGCTCTTGTGAAGCAGGCAGTTTTACATTATCCCCATTTTGCAGATAAAAAAAAACCCACAAAGCTGACACACTGAAGGAGTGAAGTAAGTGATTTGACAGAGGTTAATGCAAAAGCTAGGAGACAGGTTCTTTAGCTTTTTTGCGTCCTTGACCCCTCTGGCAACTCTGGATGTTTCCCATGCCTGGAGTTCTTTTCCTCCTCATCCCCATCTCCTGGCTTCCTTCAAGTCCCAACAACAATCTCACTTTCTGCAAGAAGCCCTTCCTGACCCCCCCAGATACTAACACCTTTCTTTTGGGATTATCTCAGTCTATCATCCCTTCTAGATCTTTTCTGCACATAATTGTTTGCACATCGCCTCACCCATTCAACTGTGAGCTCCTTGAGAGCAGGCACTGGTTTTTTGCATTTTTTCTGCATCCTGAGCACTGAGCACAGGACCTAAGCACTTAAAAAATTTTTGTTGACAACAAATAATTGAAATAAATACTAAATTTCAATTAAAAATTAATGTAATGTAATGTAATTTTTTCCTATCATGGGCCCCAAGTTAAGAATCTACTTCGTGAGGGGCAGCTGGGTGGTGCAGTAGATAAAGCACCAGCCCTGGAGTCAGGAGTACCTGAGTTCAAATTTGGCCTCAGACATATAATACTCACTAGCTGTGTGACTCTGGGCAGGTCACTCAACCCCAAATGCCTTGCCAAAAAAAAAAAAAAAGAATCTACTTCTTGGGAGTTCATGGACTTTAGGTTAAGAATCCCTAGACTAAATGATCTCTAAGGTCCTTCTCTCAGCTCTAGATCCTATGATCCTAGGACTAGAATGACCCCATCTTCTAGCTCCATTTTCTAGTATTCTTTTTTACACCACCATACTGCTAGTTGGTTGCTCCTTTACCAGTGGCTGGCAATCTCTTCGAATCATTGCACTACATGAGGATGGATAGATGCCCCAAAAGGCACATGACCCACTGAGATGAACATCCTGATTTGCCCTCTTCTAGTAATAGTGCTGGGATTAAATAGATGGAGAATGCTGTCATTCAGTGCCTGAGCATCATAATGGGATCTTAAAGTGGTCTTGGTTTGTCCAAACACAGGTTATTAAAAAAGAGACAACACCCCACCCCAATCCCAATCCCAATCCCCATCTCACCTGAATTCTTCTCCTGAGGACTCTCTCACACAGAACCTTGAGGGCCACCCGTCGGCAGCCCCCCAGGCCTCCTGCCTCCCAAAGCAGCCTGTCCTGGGCTGTATCATAGATCCTGTACTTTGTCATGTCCTCCTTCAGTGCCTTAAAGTCATAGCGGAGGTCATGGCCTACCACCAGCTTGTCTCGGAGGAGTTCCAAGACCTAGACCAGGAGACACAAGACACATTCATCACCTTACACATCAGGCCCAAACTATGAAGATCAAAGTCTCATTTCAAGCTCTTTAAGCAAAGGGGAAAAGACCACATGTTCTCTAATCACTGTAGGAGCCCCACTGGACAGGATATGGCTCAAGGAAAAAAAATCACGTGCCTGGTGATGGGGCATCTAAGCAGAATCAGACAGTCCATTATTTGAAAAATCATATACAATGCCACCACCACGGCCACTCCACTCCATATTACTGTTTCCTCAATGTCTTGGGCCATCACTATGATACCTGTGATTTGACATCCACAAAACAATTCCTGAGCCAATGGAGAATGAAATTTCCTGATGTTCCAAAGCTATGTATCTGTATCACCCTCATTAGCAGCTGAGGTAGGAGTCTGCACAACACTGCATATACTGTTGGACACTTTTTATAGCCAAGGCTTCTCCCAGCACCTCTACGCTGCAGGTTCAGGTTTCATTGTGGGAAAGGAGTTGTGTAAGAGACACAGAATCAGGGTGAGGCTATAAGAGAAATGGACTAATATCAGCCTGTACTTAAGGACTCTTTAAAAAGTCAGGGTCATGAGGAGGGTGTGATCAGCTGGACTTTGCTGCTGCTAAGTGTTGTCCCCACACCCCTCCTGCAAACCCAAGCCAGGTCCTTCACTTGTTTTCTACCCAAAGTCCACTTCTTGTCCCTAGTTGAAAAACAAAATGTTGTTACACCAGAGGAAATTAATTGATGAAACACCCATTACCCTCACTGACCTGGAAAGAGGTACTCTAGAGGTAATGCAATTGCCCCGTTGCCCCATTCAAGCACTGTTGGACTGATGGCCACTAGAATCACTTCCTATTGCTTAAGAGCCCATTGCCTCAGTGCTGTTTTCTGCTGCAAACCATGAACAAGTAGAACATAGTAGGAAAAGCACTGGATTATTTTTGAAGGCTTGGGTTCAAATTCCAGCTCAATCACTTAAGAGTTGTGTGACTTTAAGCAAATCACCTAATCCCTCTGTGACTCAATTTCCTAATCAACAAATGGGGAAAATGACACTTGGATTTTCTATTTCATAGAGGTGTTGTGAGGTTAAAATGAAAAAATAAATACAAAAGCACTTCATAACTGCAAAGTCCTTTATAAATGTTGGGCAGCTAGAGGTGCAGTGGATAGAGTGCCCAGCCTGGAGTCAGGAAGACTCACCTTTCTGAGTTCAAACCTAGCTTCAGACACTTACTGTCTGTGTGACCCTATACAAGTCACTTAATCCTGTTTGCCTCAGTTCCTCATCTGTGAAATGAGCTGGAAAAAGGAAATAGCAAACCACTCCAGTATCTCTGCCAAGAAAACCCCAAATGGGATCATGAAGAGTTGGACATAATTGAAACAACTGAACAACAACAAAACATAAATGTTAGCTATTATCATATGCTACTGAGAGGCCAGGCCTGGAGTCAAGATGATCTAGATTCAAGTACAACCTACCTACATGACCGTGGGAAAGTCACTTAGCCTCTTAGTGTCTTCAACCAACTCTAATACGAAAAGTTGCAGATGAATTGTTGATCTTCATTGGTGGAGGGAATTTCCATGGCAGAAGTGCCAATAAAATCATGGGAAAGGCAGATAAATGAATGGATAGGTAGATGATAAAGTTTCCATGGCAAGAATTCTGATAAAATCACAGGTTCAAGATAAATAAATAAATAGATGGGTGGGTGAATGAATGAATGAATGGATAGATAGATAAGTAAATAAATAGGTAAAATTTTCATGGCAGGAATTCTGGTAAAATCACAGGGATAGATAGATAGATAGATGAATGAATAGATAGATAAGTAAATAATAAGGAATTCCAATAAAATCCCAGGTTCAGGATAAATAAATAAGTAGATGAATGAATGAATGAATGCATGAATAGACAGATAGAAAAGTTAAAAAGTAAAGTTTCCATGTCAGAAATTCCAATAAAATCACAGGTTGGGGATAAATAAATATATATATATATATATATATATATATATATATATATATATATATATATATATATATATATGAATAGATTAGTAGATAAATAAATTAAGAACAAGATATATAGAAAGATAATTAAGTAAATAAATAAGTAAAGTTTCCATGACAAGAGTTATAATAAAATCACAGGTTCAGGATAAATAAATAGATTAATAGATAAATAAATAAATAAATGGCTAGATGAATGAAAAGATAAATAGAAAGATAACTAAATACGTAAGTTTCCATAGCAGGAGTTGCAATAAAATCACAGGTTCAGAATGATTAAATAAATAAGCAAATGAATGAATGAATGAATGAATGAATTAATAGGTAGGTGGGTGGATAGACAAATAAATAAATGGATGAATAATGAATAGATGAATGAATAAATGGGTAAATGAATGGAGATAGATGGATGGATAGATAGATAATAGGTTGCTATGATTATGCCTCGTGGACCTGGACATCAGTTTCCCTGTCTCTCAAATGGAATGTAAATAAAGCCCCGAAGCTCATACCCAACAGAAGCCAGGTGATATAGTGAGGAAAGTGCTGAATTTGAATTCAGGGGACCCAGATTCAAACCCCAGATTTGCCACCTGTTACCTGTGTAACCTCAAGGAAATCACCTGCTCGACCTCAGTTTCTTCATCTGTAAAATGCTGGTGTGTGTGTGTTTGTGTGTGTAGAATCGAGGGATTAAAATGGGAAGAATGATTTCTCTGCTGGAGTCAGAAGACCTGGATTCACATTCCCACCTCTGACCCTTAGTACCTGTGTGACCTTAGGTAAGTCACTTAATTTTTCTGGGCCTCAGTCTCCTTATCTGTGAATTAAAAAGATTGGACTAGATAGTTTCTAAGGTACCTTACACTTCTAAATCCACAATCCTATGATTAGATAAATTCTAAGGCACCTTCTAGCTCTAAACTCATGATCCTCTGAGTTCCCTTCTCATTCCAGATTCAACATAGATACATCTATGTATGCACAAATGCAAACATGATTCTAAAGAATTTGAAAGAGAGTTTTGCCCCCTTTGGTGAAAATAGGAGGAAACGAAAGTAGTGCCTCATCTTGGGGGCTGGGGCTCAGCCTGGAAAATGAAACACTAGAAAACGAAAATATTTTAAAAGGAGAATTGTAAAAATACATCAATCTGATGCGTGCAACTGCCACTGGAGGGATCATCTTTCTTTCCATTTAGTTCATCACAGAGACAGCTGTTACATTCTTAGCTATTACAGCCTTCCCCAGCAAGGCTCAGGATGGACATGGGGAAAGGGCACTATGCACTTGACTGAAAATTGAATTATGCCTAACAAGATGAGTGTCTGAAAGCCATGGGCTGCTGGGTGATTTGGCACTTGGTTAATATCATCAGCCAGCAGCAACACAATCATTCCTATTAAAAAGAGATGAGGTCTTTAAAAAGATCCATCTCAAGCCCTGTCAATGCGTGCAAACTTTCACCAGTCCTTTTCTCATTGATTAATGTCAGAGCAACAATGCATCTGATGGCAGAAGCCTTTGGAGCTAGCCTGAAGAAAGCAGCAGGGAGGATAGGGGAGGATTTTCTTCTCTAGGTTTGTTGAAATACTTCAATGTGTCCATGCTGAAATGGATTTGGGGCCTTGATTGGATGAGTGGTCTATGCTATTAACAACTAACAAAGCAATATGCTTGCTCTTTCAGGAGGTTTTTCTTTCAGAAGGGCTGGATCTACATCATTTCCAAAGACTTTGGAATTTATCCTCTCAGGCCCTCTCTCTCTCTCCCTCTCCCTCTCTCTCTCTCTCTTTCTCTCTCTCTCTCTCTCTCTCTCTCTCTCTCTCTCTCTCTCTCTCTCTCTCTCTTTCTCTCTCTCGGTCAAAGAGTCATTGAATGATAGGACTGGAAGGGACCTTAAAGATCATTTGGCTCAACCCGCTCTTTTTCTAAGAAGTTCAGTGATCTATTTATTCATTCCTTTGACAAGCATTTATCAAGTGCCTACTATGTGCCAGGTACTGTGGCCCTAGAGACACAAAGACTAGAATGTAAAAGGTCTTGCCTGGAACATACACTCTTTAGCTTATATTCTGAGGCAGAGGGGAAAGCAAGAAAGGAAACAAGCATTTATTTAGCAATGTGAAAAATGATTTTTCTTAGTAATCATTATCTTGAAGACTCAGAGCTTCCCCATTCCCCTTTCTTTCAAAATTCAGTCCTTCAGAAGGAAGATGTAATCTAAATTAATCTAATTAAGATGTAATCTAAACGGGTCTATTCCTGCTCATTGTGTTGCCCAGACAGGTCTGGAAGAACATTGATTCCTCCCCATGATCAAGACAGGTGACATGGAAATTGATATCTCTTTGACCAAGATTAAGTGACCTAAATCACAGACCCCGAGACCCTCATTTTAATGTAGCCCACCTCCCAGTGCGTTGACCAATCAGAGTTGATTGGTACCCCTTGGGAACACCTACTCTTCGAAGGGCATGTAACTCTGTACACCCCCAACCCCCAAACTGAGCCAGTTCTGGCTCATGCGATGCATGTTGCCAGCTTGAGAGAAGTGAAAACGTGGACACAACCTAATTTGTTTGTCTCTTTTCTTAGAACAAAGTCTGATATGGTTGCCAGACACTGTTGCTAAGCACTTTACACCTACTGTGTGCCAGGCACTGTGCTAAGCACCTTACAGTTATTTTCTCATTTGATCTTCATAACAACCCTGTGAGCTAGGTGCTACTAGGAACTCCATTTTACAGTTGGGGAAATTGAGGCAGACAGCACTGAAGTCACTTGCCCAAGGTCTCACAGCTAGTAAGTACCTTGAGGCTAAATTTGAACTCAGGTCTTCCTGACTCCAGATGCGGCTCTCTATTCTATTTGCCACCTAGCCAGTGGGCAGAGGGAGGGCAGGAGAAGGGCCACATCAACAAAGAACACTAGCAAGTGGGGTTAAAATCACCATTAGTTACAGAGCCAGGACCATGTCTCCGGGTTGCCAACCTCTAGGAGTCTAATGCCCTTTTACCTATCCCAGCCAGACTGAAGCCAACCTTCCGGCTGGGCCAAGGGGCTATTGGATCCCCTCGAGGGTAGGGCTTGTTTCATTCTTTGTACTGGTATCCCTAGCACCTAACCCAGTACCTCCTGCACTGTTTCATTACAAAAGCCAATTACTTTTTCCTGCTTTGTCTTACCAGGGCCATTTCCTGTATTTGTTCTGCCTGTTGGCTGCTCTTCCTTTTCCCTTTTGCTGACTGCTGTCTCACTGTTTCTTAGCTTCCCAATTATGTGCCCAGGCTGGAAGAAGCCGGGAATCTCCCCAAGTCTACCTTTGCTTTAGCTCGATGCCAAAATGAGGTTTGGAATGATCAGATTCTAAGAATAGAAGGGACATTCAAGGCATCCTCTGGCAGGAATCCTCTCTCGAGCTGGCTGCCCCTATGCCCGGAATGCTCTCCCTCCCTATCTCTGCCTCTTGGCTTCCCCATCTTCTCTCAAGTTCCAGCTAAAATCCCATGTTCTATAGGCAGCCTTTCCTAATCCTCCTTGATTCTAATACCTTCTCTCTTTTGATTATCTCCAGTTTATCTAGTTGGTACAGAGCTGTTTGAACATTGTGTCTCCCATTAGAATGTGAGCTCCTTGAGAGCAAGGACTGTCTTTCACCTCTTTTTTTTTTTTGGTATATCCAATGTTTAGCACAGTGCCTGGCACATAGCAGGTGCCCAATAAACTGACTGATTGACAAGTAGCTATCCAGATTCCATTAGAATACTTCCAGTGAGGGGAAACCCATCCTGATACTTTGATTAACCACGATTTCCTTATCCTCTCCCAGACCTCACTAAACAGAAAACGGAGAGCTGAACTACCTTGGTTTCATCTAGATCATTGGTCCTGAGGACAGTCATGGGAAGTGAGTGACTGGCCAGTACAAAACTTTCATTTCAGTGAGATATGGAAACAAATTTGCAGTAGGAGAATATGACCTATAATGTCCCAGCAGGTTAAAAACAGTGTTCAGAGGAGAACCTTGGTGTCCGTATAATTGTTCTAAAATACAGACAGGGCCTCTGCTGTCCCACTAAGCCCCATATTCTGTATGAGAATCATATGGGGGAAGGTCCGTTAGGCCTGATGTAGAATTCCAATATTTACCTCCTGTTGTCTATAATACAAGAGGCAGAAGGCTTGGTTAATTCATATCTAAAGGAGATGCCAACCTCTGGCCACAAATGGCATCCTGTGTTTCCTAGTGGATCCCCATCTCCTCACCAATTCACTCTTCCAGCCCTGTCCCAAGGTTGTGAGAACATGCACACAGAAAGCTGTCTGATAAGAATGCCAGGGTATCATGATGATAGCAGTCCTATCAGGCACTGTCACGGTGTAATGGAAAGTGCTTTAGACTGAGAACTAGGAAGGAGACTTAGCTGCAAATCTGGCAGTCACTGGCTGTACAAGACATGAGCCACTTTATTTCTTTGTGCCCCAATTTATTCATCTGCAAACTTCAAGAGTTGTGATTACTAAGGTCCTGTCTCCAGGTCTGTGAAGTCAGAGGGATTGCTCTCTAGCTCCCGTACACCTAGGACTTTCTCCACTGCTGTGGGAACTCACCAACCAGCTGTGCTTGGTGATTTTCTAGTGATTCATCATTAGTTTCCAACTACAGTGTTGCTGTCCATAAATCTCATTTACTAAAACTATGGAACAAGAGATGTTTTTCACCTGCCCAGTCTCCCACCAGTCTGGTCCCCTCACTTACCTCTTCCCTGGCACTTGCGAAAGGTACGGCTGTCAACATGTGCTCAGGTTTTATCCCACTTACATGGGAACGATAGTCTGTGATCTCCCCTTCTGGCTTGATGTATTTGTCATACACCACTGAGCCATGATAGTCCACGAGACTGCACCGAGCCAGACCACTTTCCCGAAGAGGTCCCACTCCTACCATCTCACAGTCCATGGCGATGATCTGGTCCTCCCTGGCACGGTCCCCCATGGTCAGCAGGCACTCAGATGCTCTAAGAAGGGAAATCATGGAACAGTGACTGGAGATTCTTTGGCTGATTAAACCATCATTAGAGTTCAGTGGTGCCTGGACTTATTCAGGGGAACTGGTTCTGAACTAAGCTCTGTGAAGCATAGCAGTCAGGTTACAGAATCTCTGTCTTTTGTCACAAATGCCACCTGGCAACAGGAGGAGTTGGCACCCTGACAAACCAACCAGTTTCCTTACACTAAGCAAGAGGGGGAGAGAGAAGAGAGAAGAGGGAGGAGAGAGAGAGAGAGAGAGAGAGAGAGAGAGAGAGAGAGAGAGAGAGAGAGAGAGAGAGAGAGAGAGAGATTGGGGGGGGAAGAGAGAGAGAGAGGAAGACAAGATCCTGAGCCCTCCCCAACCAGCTAGACAAGATCAGGAACACATCCTGGCTGGCCTCCATCTCAGGTGACCTCAACACAAGTTAAGTTTAGCCACAAAGAACATACTTCTTCGTGGAGACCCAAATCAATGTGCTCTCACCTTCTATCTTTTCAGACAGGACCCTACTCAGCCAGCCACCAAAAGTGCTGTCAGCCCTCAAAATAACTTACTACTGGCTCTCCCTCTACTTTTTAGCGTCTGCAGCTGGTATCACAAATGACTCATCTCTGACCGGGGACCTAGGAACCCTGAAATCCTAGTTTCAGTTTCCTTGCAGTGATCACATGGGTTCAGAGGAGCCTGGGCAACCTCATTTAAGTTTCTGTATCAATTCTCTTTCTTGATGGTTGCGTTTCTTTACAGGGCACTTGGCTGTGCTTTTCTCCAGTTTCCCATTTGCCCACTCGCCCCCCTCCACCAAAACAAACAGGAAAGTCCTCAGCTCTGTCATCCTGAATGAGTCATCTGAATTGACTGATTCTATTGCAACATCTTCCTTTCTTCTATCAGTCTCCTCCTCCCTGAATCAGCCCTCTAGAAAAGATGTAGTAAGGTTTGGACCCTAGAGAATACCCCACAATGTCAGAGTGCTCTTGCCAGGCTGACATCATGGGGAGAAGAGTGGGGGAAATTTGTTTGGTGAAAGTAAAGTAACTGGACCCCTGTGGCTATTGATTTGGGATTAGAAAGAGGAAAAGACGTCAGAATGGAATATGACAGAACATCGAGTCAGAGGAGGCACGGTTCAGATGCTGAATCTGCTTCACCCGGTGACCATGCACAAGTCACTTCATCTCGGTTTTCTCCACTGTAAAATTCTGGGGTTGGAGTAGACCTCTGAGGTCTCTTCCAGCTTTGATTCCTGTGGGCTTAAGGGAAGGAGACCTATCCTGTGATCTATCCAGAGAAGGTGGGGTAGGGTCAAGAAACAGGGAAAGGGATCCAATCAGCAGATAAGAATCAAATAAGCAAACATGTAAGCATTTATTAGGCACCTGAGTTAGGTGCTGGGGATACAGATACAAAGGTGAGATGGTCCTCCCCCAGCACCTGGAACATAGGAAGCACTTTTTTAAGTCATTGCTGATTGACTGAAGAAGCTTACATTTTATTAAGGACATTCTCTAACCAAGGGATGAACCACAAGCATGCAAAGCCCTGTGGGACTGATATGGTTTGGGGTGTAGGGCTAAGCTGTCTGGCAAGAATTCACACACCCAAGCAGTCTTCCAGTCAGGTGGCAAAAAGTTTATCATAACACTAATAAAAGCAGGCAGAGCTTGTTTAGGGAACTCACAAACTAACAGGAGTGATGCCAAGGCTTATATAGAACAGGTACAGTGACTTGTGTGGCAAGCATGCTAATTAGGTGGTGAACATAAGAGTTTCTGTACCTTGGGGCACAGGTGTCATTCACTACTGGCATGGCCTGGGTCTGTAAAGGGGTCTGTATGTCTGTATGTCTACATCTATAACAAGATAGCCTTCAGAGTTGACATCTATACAGTAACTGTGGGAATCAGTACATGATAGTTCTGCTCTCTTGTTCATACAAGGGAAATTCTACAGAGGTCAGCTTGTTCATGTAACAGGGAGAGATAGTTTGTTTGTTTTCCTGGGCCCACTCATGACATATTGCCAGAGATAGAGTCTTTGGGCTGGGGAGAGATATGGTCTAGGGCTGGGGTCCAAGCACTCATCAGGATGAAACAGAAACAAGCCCTTACCTTCAAAGAGGGCAAGTGTAAGGGCAGAGAATAAGCATTTAGAAAGGCACCCTACTATGTGCCAGGCACTGTTATGTGCTTTTGACAAACATCTTATGTGGTCCTCACAACAACCCTAAGAGGTAAGTACTATCACTTTCCCCAATTTTCAATTGAGGAAGCTGAGGCAAATACAGGTTAAGTGACTTGTCCAGGGTCACACAGCTAGTAAGTGTCTAAGACCATATTCAAATTCAATTCTTCCTGACTCCAGACCCAGTACTCCATCCACTGCACCACCAGCTGCCACCAGAGCTTGACACGCTATTGGAGAGATGCAATGTAAACAGTAGAGAAAAATCTGAGATCCTCAATTAGCAATGCCATGAGTAGGTTATTATTACCAAATAATTTTGGGGAGTGCGCGATAGCCTTCACCAAGAACCAACACATAGTCTCTTTATGGAAAGCATTTGTAAACATGGAGAAGACAAGATTGAATGAAGGATGTTAAGGAGGCTGGAGGAACAGAGGTGTCTTTTGGCCACAAGAAACAGACTGGCAATAGCTGGTATTGCTCCCTTACATGAGATGAAACCCACAACTGAAAGTTGTGGTCAACAGAAATGTTGTTTGTCACAGTGTAATAGGTATTAACAATATGAATATTATTATTATTAACATATAGCAGGTGCTTTAAGGTTTACAATGTGATTCCCTCACAACAGCCATAGGGGGTAGATAATGTAGCTTTTGCTACTCCTATTTTATAGATGAGGAAACTGAGGCTAAGAGAGATAAAATAACATTCCGCTACTCTCCATTACTGTAATTCAGCCAAGAAAGGGAATATTATGAAGGGAATTTAATTCTCAATTAAACGTTAAGCAGCTCCTGGGTATAGAGCAAGGCGCTGGATGGATCTGGCTGGTAAATCTATGTGCTTGCAACGTACTAAATGCTTAATACATACATTTCACTGCTGCTGTGCTTGTAACATTCACATATCTATTCAACATGGTCAAGGGGAGATTTCCATCTAGGCATTTTCTACCTCTTGACCTCAAGTGGGCAGGGTCTACCATCATGTGAGTTTGCTCAGCTGACTGCCCAGGGTTGTTCTAATAAGAATCAAATAAGCAAACATGTAAACATGTATTAGGCACCTGAGTTAGGTGCTGGGGAAACAGACAGAAAGGTGAGATGGTCCTACCGCAGCACCTGGCACATAGGAAGCACTTCTTAAGTCATTGCTGATTGACTGAAGAAGCTTACATTTTACTAAGGACATTCTCTAATCAAGGGATGAACTTTGTCGAGCACAAATGAGATGCGAGTTCAAGGATCAAGTGAGTGTTGGCCACAACTTTTAATATCATAAAAATTGCAGCTTCACAGCAGCTGTGAGACAGGCAAACAAGTAGTCACTGGCCTAGGTAAGGCCTGTCCTTGAATCTTCACTGACCCAAAGTCTATTAAACCTGCAGAGAAGCAGGCTGAAGGCTGACCTAGCCAGGCAGCAATTAGGTCAGCCGATGCCTCTCTGTGGGAATGTCAACCCTGCCCTACAAAGTTACATACACACTATCCTTTCAAAGGCAGAGAAGATAGGCTTGTTCTATGACAGCCCATCTTTAGAAGAATCCTAACTACCCAATAGGTGAATGAATGCTGATCTTTTTGAGTCCTTGACTCAACTTTGAAGTTAGGAATATCTGGGTTTTAAACATCATCTGTCCCTTATGAGCTGTATGACCATAACAATAGCTAACATTTATACAGCACTTTTAAAGCTTGCAAAGCGTTTTACATATGCCGTGTTAGGTGTGCCTCATAATAACCCTGAGAGGTAGGTACTTGTTAGACAGGTAAACACACCGACTATGCCATTTCTCAGGGAGACACAAGAGAGCTTCTAGCACCTCTCTCACTAGCAGTTTTGCTTTTGATCCGGTCAGACAAAAGACAGCAATAGAGTCATGATAAGGTGTTAAATAAGCTTACTTTATTCTAGTCTAGTTTGCTGATAATGGGAGCACCAACTCCTACAACATTACCTACCAACTCTTCTTTCAGGAACCAGCATGAAGGTGGGGGGGTGGGAAGCGCCCCCCACAACTACCTCTCTTCTCGATGGGGTCAATTGAAACAGGCGCAACTTGTGCACTCCACTAAATCCCCTCAAGCCTCAATGGGGGCTGGTTGAGGCAAACACACAAATTCCCCCTCCCAAGCCTTGATGGGGGCCGTTCAAGGCACAGCAGCATTCCAGCTGGTGCATTCACCCTTAAGGGGGTCCCTAGTCATTGACCAGAGCCCTCTTGCTTTATAGGGCAAAAGAGAAAGAAGGTATGTTAGCACCAATAGCCTCACAATTTTACATTACTTCATCCCTATATCTACTGTGACTGTGCAGTAGAAACTTTTTAACCATGATCGTGGGAACTCATATCTAATGCCTGGAAACTAGAGATTGTTATGGCTATAGATCCTGGGAAAGAAGAAAGAATAACAAAAATATACCTTACACACACTAAAATTCATCCTACTTACAGAACTATTATTATTTCCTTTTTATGGATGAGAAAATTGAGGCTGAAAGTTTAGATGATTTTCCTGGAGTCACACAGCTAACTAAAATGTCTAAGGATTCAAATTCAGGTCTTCTGAACTGTGCTTTATCTTCCATGCTCTATCTACCACACCACTAAGCTGCCTCTGACTGTGAAGAATCCACTTAACCTCTGGGTGACTTGAAGACCCTACGTCAAGAAGCCTTTATTAAACACCTACTATGTGCCAGGCACTGTGCTAAGTCAGGGGTTTTTATCCTTTTTGTGTGTCATGGACACCTTTGGCAGTCTGAAGCCTAGAAATTCCTCAGAATAGTTTATATAGACAAAATAAAATATGTAGGATTGCAAAGTAAACCAATTAAATTGAAAAAGTAACTTTCTTTTTTTTTTCTCATCCAAGTTTAATCCTCCTGAAATCTATCTTTGAACAAACCTGTCCAGGGTTTGGACCCCAGGGTAAGAACCTCTGCTCTAAGTTATAAGTGAGCTGGATAGTACAGTCTCCACATCAAATGAAATCACAGGTCTCTGACCTACCTCAATTTCCCAATAATTCTGGAATTTAGTGATGAGTCCACTT